AGGCTGGCGGTTCAAACCCACCAGCCACTCCTCGGAAGGAAGGTTGGGCAATCTACTTCCGTAGTGATACTGCCTTGGAAACCCAAGGAGGTCGCTGAGTTGGGTCTGACTCGATGGCACATAACAACAACAACAACAAGATGCTCCAGAAGCATCTCGTATACCTTTTAGTCTTCTGCCATCTGGTATGTTACATTATATATTTAATTGGATCAATAAAATTTTTTGAATGAATGAACACTGTTATTTATGGATGTTTATAAATAAATGGTTATGTTCCAAAGAAACTATTTAAGGATGCTTATAGGTAATACAGTTGGCTTTTTAAACTAAGAAAAAGAACAATGATAAAATAAATTTTAAAAATAAAATAATTTTTCTGAGTATTACAAATTAAAATATTCTCTATATCCAAAAGAGTTATCAAAAACTGAATGGCAGACAGAAATGAAAATTTTGGAACATAAGTCCTAGACTCACCCACTGCCATCAAATTGATTCCAACTCAAAGTGACCCCATTGGGTTTCCAAGGCTATAAATCTTTACAGAAATAGATTGCTTCATCTCCCTCCAGCTGGTGGGTTTAAATAGGCAACCTTCTGGTTAGCAGCCAAATGCCTTAATCACTGTGCCACCAGAGCTCCTTATGTCTTAGACAGTGGGTTAATATTCTCAATACATAATGAAATTTACCTAGGAAATTGGCAAAAATATAGTTTAAGTGGTAATTTTCACTGATGTTAAGGGTGTAGGGACATTGGAAGCCTCACACACTAGGAGTAAAAAATTAAACTTCTTTTGGAAAATTGGGTGAATTTGTTTATTCTCTTACACATGCTCCTACCTTTTGACCTAATAATTACTTTTCTGGTAATTAATACTGAGGAAATAGCCAAGGATATACCCAAAGATATATGTATAAAGCTGATCATTATTAATGTGTTAAAACCAAAATTGATAACAATCTAAATGTCCAATAACTGGATACTAAGTTAATAATAGTTCATCTGTCCATCTAACAACATGTTGTTTAAAATTTTTAAGCATAATATTTAATGATGTGAAAATCATTACATTTTAAGTGTAAAGAACAGGTGTTGATATAGCATGCTCAGTATGATTCTATCTTTACAAATAGTTTCATGTGTGTATGTATGCATAGAATTAGAAGGCCTCTTGTGGTACAGTGGTTAAAACATTTGGCTGTTAACCAAAAAGATTGGCAGTTTGAACCCACCAGCCACTCCATGGGAGAAAATGAGATATTCTGCTTCTGTAAAAGATGTACAGCCTTGGGAACCCTAATGGGCAGTTCTACTCCATCTTACAGGGTTGCTATGAGTTGAAATCTACTAGATGGTGGTGGGTTTAGTTTGGATTTATTGTGTACCTGAGGGTTATAGATGATTTGTTTTTTATCTTTTTTTTTCCCCCTATGGTGAGCATGTAATGTAAAAATAGAATGAAGTTCTATGTAATTCCTTGAATTAGACCACAGATTTTACTCTTATTTGCCAGTAGCAAATGTACAATAAAAGATTTATGGTATTTATAAAATAAGAGCAGGTCAGTTTTGTGTATATTTCTTCATTTGTTTTTGTTGTTTATTTTCCATGAGAAGCACAGCTTTTCATAGTATCTGGTGTCTGATGGTATTATCAAAAGATGACCCTATGTAAAGTAAAGACTTTTATCTTCACCAGTATCTTTCTATGAATTAGTCTTCAATTATATCATCCATGCAGTAAATGTGTGGTGAATTTTATGAGCTCTGGTGGTGTAGCACCTAAGGCATTTAACTGCTAACTAGAGGGCCAGTGGTTCAAACCCACCAGCCACTCCTCAGAAGGAAGATTGGGCAGTCTACTTCTGTAGTGCTACTGCCTTGGAAACCCAAGGAGGGGTCGGTATGAGTTGGAGCTGACTCAACAGTAGTGAGGTTTTTTTTTTTTGTATTGTTTTAACATCCCACAGTGTAAGCTTTAGGCTCAAAACAATGCAGTCCAATAACTCTGCTCTTATAATTTGGCTTGTTTGAAGGATACAATTTTACACATCTGTACAAGTGGGTGGACTGCACATGTTGAAGGAAATCTTCATTGAATATTATATCTTGTCACCAAATGTTTGATAATTTCAGAGCATAGTACTAGAGATTACATTTTCTGATGAAAACCTAAAGGATAAATCAATGAATGCATTCTTAGCTTAAATATTTAAATCAGAAAGAAAATAGAGTTTTTAAATTTCATTCTTTACCAATTAGGATATTTGGAGATTCTATTATCTTCAGATTATCTGTCCTTAAAAAAAAAGTACTGCATACTTAATACCTGAAATGTAATGTCTTATCCAGTAACCAAAAAAAAGGAAAAAACCAAACTCATTGCCATCAAGTCGGTTCCGACTCATGGTGACCCCTTTCGGTTTCCAAGGTGGTAAATCTTTCCAGAAGTAGATAGCCCAGTCTTCCTTCCGCAGAGTGGCTGGTGACTTTGAACCGCCAACCTTCTGCTTAGCATTCAGAAGCCTTAGGCACTCTGCCACCAGTGCTCCCTTATCCAGTAACAGTAGGAGCTAAAATCTTTTAGGTATTTGTTTCATTTCTACTCTAAGTACTAAATTTTTAACTGAATAGCTGGGTTTGGGTAACCATACTGTATATGTACTAGATAATCATTTTTTATTTTATTCTTCCAGGGAGAAACTTATTCGTCTTCAGCATGAGAATAAGATGTTAAAAATTAACCAAGAGGGTTCAGACAATGAAAAAATTGCCTTGTTACAGAGTCTTCTAGATGATGCAAATTTACGCAAGAATGAACTGGAGACAGAGAATAGGTAAAAAGGGGAAAAAAACGTAAACTCATTGCCATCGAGTAGGAGCTGACTCATAGCAACCCCTCCTTGGGTTTCCTAGGTAGTATCTCTCTACAGAAGTAGATTGCCCAATCTTCTTCCAGTGAGTGGCTGGTGGATTTGAACCGCCAGCCTTATGGAGGAAGAACAGAATATATAAAATTGTCATAACAAGGCTGATTCACATCTAGGAAATGCCAAATCAATCAGGCACAATAAACCAAGAAGTTGTGATATTAGACAAACTATAAAATTATTAATAAAACTGTCAAATTCCTCAAAAATGAAAAAATATCACTACCTTAGGCACTATGCCACTAGAGTAGGAATATATAATATAGGTGACAGGACTTTACCATGGTTTTTCTCTATTTGTCTTTATTTTGATTCCCTTAAACAAAGGTTTGGATTGTATTTCGAAAAGTGGTAAAGTGCTATTCCATTTCATTTTAAGAGTACTTTAATCCATTGTGACACACACACAAAGAGTAGCTTTTTATGGGACTTGGTTCCTTGGTTTTGAGGTTTAGGGTCATGATTTCATGGGACATCCCAGTTAATTGGCCTGATAGGCATTTAGTACTTCTGTTCAACCTCCTGGTTCATTGAGTAGTGCCTGGGGTCTTAGAAGCTAGCAAGCCAGCATCCAAGATACAACAGTTGGTATCTATTCGCCTGGAAGACAGAGAAGAAAAGGAGAATCAGGAAAAGGAGGAGGACATGGAATGTCCTAATTGCCTCCATGAATAGTTGCTCCATTTGCCATGAGACTGAAGAACTGGATGGTGCCTGACTACCATCACTGAACAATTTGATCAAAGATTCTACAGAAGAATCCTGCTCAAAAGGGGGAAACTGTGGAATACAACTTCAAATTCTCATGGAAGCCAGCCTTTCTGGGGCCATGAATGGTGGATGAACCCTGAAACTATTGTGCTACGATAATTTTTAAACCTTAAACCAAAAATATCCCCTGAAATCTTCTTATAACCAAACAGTAGTTTAGCTAGCAAAGGATATCTGCCTTGAGCATTGTGCTCTTTTAAGGTCTATTTATATGTGATCAAACTGAAAATAGCAATTTGAAAAATTAGATTGAACCGTAGAGGGCAATGAGTTTATGTGAATGGGGAGGAACAACTCAGAAACTGGTGAGAATGGTTGCTCAACTCGAAGAATATAATCAGTGTCACTTGATTGTACATGTAGATATTGTTGAATTGGTGTACTGTTGTATATATTCCCAACCAAAATTAATTATGTTTGAAAATGTAAAACAAAAGAGTACTTGAATTCCTTTCTCCACTTTTGGACAGACTTGCCAAAAAGTACTATGCCTCTTTATAATAGGATCCCGTTTTTCAATTGTTCAAGCAAAATGATACCAAAGCCCTACCATTTTCCTTTTCTAATCACTAACTAAAACAAGAGGATTTTTAAAAATCTGACCATTAGTTAACAGAATATTTCATAACAAAGTCAATTCATAGTCACTGTCAAGTTAATATAGTTTACTCCATTTTATATGTTAATGTTGCAAAGGATCTATTAGTGTGGGGAAGTATAATCCATCAAAATTGAATTGACAGGCCATTTTATGTTCTAATCTGTTACTTTTATGACCCTGAAAATAAGTCTTTTATCTTATTTTGAGGATTTAGAATCTACAAAAATAACTTTCCTGCTTGTAAGTTTTCAACATATTATGAAGTCAAAGTCAGTTACTTTACAAGCAGTAGCTTACCCTGACAAGGCTTACTTTAAATTTTGTTGTGATTTTGTCTTTTGGGTTTTTTTCCTTTTTTGAAGAATTTCTTATGATACCAAACATAGGGTGCCTTTTTCTTAGACTGTGATATTTTTTCATTTTTGAGGAATTTGACAGTTTTATTAAAAATTTTATAGTTTGTCTAATATCACAACTTCTTGGTTTATGGTGCCTGATTGATTTGGCATTTCCCAGGTGTGAATCAGTCTTGTTATGACAATTTTATATATTCTGTTCTTCCTCTTGCTTTAATTTTTAAAGCTGCTGGAGTAGAATCACCAAACACTATAAATCACTATGAATACCAAGGTGATTATAAGAACATAATTAAGCATAAACAGAAGGAAAAAAATTTGATATCAGCTCTTAAGAGCATGAATAATGAATAATTGTTAAAAATATTTAAGAACCTGGAAAATGAGAAAGTGGAGGAAAGGTGATTATAGCAAACAGCTGACAGTCACAGATCTCAGTGATGAAAACATTTTTATGTTCATCTCATTAATCTTTTGCCTCTGGGCTATATTTAACTGTCTTAGTCAGCAAAACCTTTTGCATACCCTAATTTTTCTTTTTTTTCGGTGAAAAAACATCCACAACTTCCTTCACTTCCTTTATAATATTTTCCATTATTCTCACAGTCTTTACAGTTATTACTCTCATCGGAAACGGAACAGCTAGTGGGCATTTATACAGTATTCATGTATGTAGATGACTAATACCTCCAAAGTTCCTATATTGTCTGCGTCTATTTACAGTTTAGTATTGTGTTTGTTTTTTAAATTACAACACGGATGATAATACACCTTTAGATTCTGGCTGTCTTTTATCTAAAGCAATAATAATAGCAGCTCATATTTATGCTGCCCTTGTTTGTTCCAAACATGGTGTTGATTTATTCTTATGAATGTTTTACAGATGAGGGAATGTGGTCTCAGGCACAGGCTACGTGACTCCAAAGTTCTCTCTCCCTAACTCATACCCTCTTTCTGGCCAATTTATCTTCTGCCACAGTTGCAGAAGATAGGGTTTTGGTTTTTTCTTTTCTTACTTTTATTGTGGTGAAAACATACACACTAAGACACTCACCAACGTAACAACTTCCTCAAATGAACAGGGACATTGAGAACATCTATTGTATGTATATATGTATGTATGTATTTTATTTATTTATTTTATTGTCTTCCTCTTACGTTGTACTTTTCTCTTAAGTGAATTACCCTAAATTTATTCTTAATGAGTTTTATAAGTATTTACATTGGGCAATCTACTTCTGTAGTGATACTGCTTCGAAAACCCAAGGAAGAGTCACTATGAGTCGGGTCTGACTCGACGGCACATAACAACAACAACAATATCTCTAACTTAATCTCTTACTAGTTTACTGCACTGAACCAGGTATCTGGAAACCTGAGTTTTTAGTCCCAGAGTCTTCTCCTGTATAATCTTCAATACAATTTGCATATCACCCAGATAACCATCTGTTAGAAGAAGTAGTTTATAGTAGATCTCCACAGTCCTTTCCAATTAGTTTTCCAGTGGGTTAATGTTATTTTTGTCTATAAAAGCTACTGACCTCAAAATAGTATTAAGAGCAAGATGAAAGACTGAGACGAGAGCCATATCATAATTGCCCAGGGAGCTTTCTCAAAGCATACATGGTGTTATCCCCTTACTTCTCAGAATATATCATGAGCTCAAACTCACCTCCTTAACCCGTTTGACAACTCTATGAATTAAGTAATTAGACTGATTAAAATGTTAAATAATACTAAAAGAAGGGAGAAAAGAAGAGGCAATTCCATTTATAGGGTACCTGCCATGTGCAGGTACTATGCTAGACATGCTTTACATTATCTCACTTTACCAACTCCCTGAGGTATGCATCATAATCCTCATTTATTTTGTACATTAACTATTTTCATATATACTTACATATATTTGTGTAGTTCACATACGTAATACTTTAACAGTCATATTAGTATGCTTGCTTGTCCTCTCCTCATTTGCTAGACATTTTTTTTCTCATCTCTCTAAGGAACATTTTGGTATGGACTAATTGTGTTTTATGATATTTACAATGATTTCTACTTACTAAGCTTGCAATATTGGTTGACTAAAGAATCTGAAAAATAATTGAGATGAATAGTTGAAGTGATTTATAAGTTTTTATAAATACTTCCATATTGCTTTCTGAAAAGATTGAGCAGAGTTACAACATCACTGGTAATGTATTTATGTACCTGTGTCCCCATACTGATTATGGATTTTATAATCATTTATTCCTTCACTATTAAATCACTCGTATTTTCTATTCTTTGATGTGAAAAACATCAGTTGTTATTATAAATTTGACTGAATTGTTAGTGTCTCAGTAAAGTACAGAGCCAAGAAGATTTATAATTTCTTATAATTTGATAAAAAAAAATTCTTATTGAACTTCTGGCAATTTGGATTCCAAACACTCATTGCCCTATTTTGTTCTTAATTTGGGGCAGTCTGGCTTCTACTACTATCATTCCACTAAAGTGTTTCTTACTAAGGTACCCAGTCATCTTTTAAATGGCCAATCCTGTAGAAGCATGAAAGGCTATCATTCCTCATCTCTCTTCTGTATTCAGTGTTACTGATCAGTTCCCCTTCCCTCTAGCTTTTCTATTATTACTATTTTAATAATACTTCCCTCTTACGGTTTTCTTAATTCTCTGATTATTCTTCAGCATGAGGTTCCTCTTTCTACCTTTTGGTTGTTGAACTGCTGGGTGCCATCTTCATTCCTCTTTTCCACTCCTTTCTACTCATCTTCACATTCTTTCTACAAAATATTATTTATGCTTATACCTTGAATTAGCATCAGATTGCTCCCACATCTGTGTATTCAACTCAGACTTCTCTCTGTGCTCTAGATCACATATCTAGCTGCTTGCCAGAGATCTCTAGGCACTTTGTTTTCAACAAATGCAAAGTCAGATTCTTTATATTACTTTCTCAAATTGTTCCACCTGTATTTCCTTTCTCAGTAGCTTAACCCAAAATCATAAGTGTTGTTTTTGATTCTTTCTATTCATCTTCCCAAAATACTATCTTGTTATGTTCCCTTTTTTGGCCATCCTTTAATATCACCCAAGACCTAGGGAATCAAATTCATCCACTGAATGCTGTACCCTAATGACCTGTAGAGAATTTGTGAAGATAGAGGTCTGGAATTGGCATTATTAAAGGCTGGCTAGGTTATTTCAGTGTCAACCAAATTTGCGTTTTATGCAAGGTCATACATAAGGAACCTATCTGTTCCTTTTCTCTTCTGGTATTTCCAGCCATTCTCTCCTTCAGAACTTCTTCTTCAGCCATGCCATTCGTGAAGTCACTGCACCTTCTCATTTTTCTGTGTACGTTGGACCAGATAAACTGCCTTGAATCCACTTTCCACCTTGTGGTAGTCAAAAAGTTATATGTCAACTTGGTTGGGCCTTGCTGAGTGGCTGGGCAACTGGATGTAGTATTCCCCATGATGAGATTAGTAATCAACTCCATGTTGGACTCTACTGTGAGCAGCTGAGTAACAGTTTTTGAGTATATAGTATGCTTCCCATATATAAGAAACAGCTTTAGGAATGGTCTCTAGCTTATGGCTCGCTTGGACTCTGCATGGAGCTGTGTTGTTGTTCAGTAGCCTGCCATGCTCTGCCGACCTTGGGACTTTCAATGGACTTGAATTAGTGGCCTGCCATGTGGTTTGGTAACATTGGGACTGTGCCATTTTATTTGTCAACCTTGGGCTTGTTAGCTTCAGCAGCCAGTAGCTGCCTAAGTGAAGAGATGCCGCTAGCTTTAGTGAGCCAGGAACAAGAGGCAAAGCTGAAGCCCAAGGTCAAGGGGCTTTCAAACAGCCCCTAGAGCTTGGCATTTTGAACTTGGACTTCTAGCCTCCCGAACTATAAGAGAATAAACTCCAGTTTGTTCAAGCATCCCATTTGTATATTCTTGTCAGAGTGGCACTAGGTAACCAGAATACACCCACAACCACATTACATATTTTATTCATCATTGTAGTCCTAACCCAGATCCAGTCTATCCTAACTCCTACACACTATTAGTATAGTTCTTGCTTCTTCAAGTAACTGTCATTACTTTTGTTTTACATGTGTACTATGTTGAAACATTTATCTCAGTGTATTGTTTTTATTTACACTTTTGCCTCTTCACTAGAGTGTAAGAACCCTTGAGTGCAGGGATATTTTTATCATTAGTGCTGAGTATACTGTCTGACACATAGTCTTCATAAACATATGTTGACATGAATTTCAGATAAATTGATATGCCTAAGTACACCAGTTTAATAAAATGTATCCATTAACAGCTACATTAGAAATTTCAAGCAATCCAAAATATAATCAGAAAACTGAGCTACTAGTACTATAACCTGGGACTCTATTTTGCTAATTATACTGTCTCTCTAACTGTACGAGAAAGAAGGCATAAATAATCCAGTGTTTGGAAAATTAATGCGCATTTGATTTCTAGGCTGGTGAATCAAAGACTTCTGGAAGTCCAGTCACAAGTTGAAGAATTACAAAAATCTTTACAGGATCAAGGCTCAAAAGCTGAAGATGTAAGTTTTGATTTATACCAACTATGGCCCAACAATTTTATAATGTTGAAAAAAGCTATAACTTCATTTTTTATTTATGGTCTCTATTATAATAATTTAGGATTATATTGCTTATAGAAGAGAAACAGTGTTTTCCTCTTATTAGCATTCCTTATCAAAAGGGCCAGACGATAATATTGTCTCCTCCAGATTGACTCTGCTAGACATTAGGAGTTCATTACTAATTATTAGCTAAGGAATTAATTGAGGTGTTACGTTTTAAATGAGCTCAACTCTGTATTCAAACATGAAATACAGGGTTTTCCATGTAGTACCCTCCCCCAAAAAAATGCTGGTAGAAACGTATCATTTTTAAGTACAAATATTTAATGTAAAATCGACATTTTTAAAAAAATGTCATCCCTAGAATCCTCCTATGGAGCTCTGGTGGCACAGTGCCTAAGGCATTTGACTGAATCCTACTGTTTCTAAATTTCTGAATCCCTCTATTATCCTCTATTCAAATATAAGTTCAATCACCTTTGTTTAAATATTCCCTTAACACTCTACCTATCTCTGTCATAACCATGCCTATTTGATTGGCACACACACTAGAATATAATAAGTTCCTTGAGTGCAGGGGCTAATGTCTTCCTTTATCTCTGCATACCACATCACCTAGAACATAGTAAGCCCAAAAATCCATTGCCATTGAGTCAATTCCAACTCATAGCAATCATACACAACAGAGTAGAGCTGCCCCGTAGAGTTTCCAAGACTGCCCCATCTTTCTCTTGTGGAGCATCTGGTGAGTTTGAACCTCCAACCTCTTGATTACCAGCCCAGTGCTTAAGCACTGCATCACCAGGGTTTCTTAGTACAAAGGTGAGGCTATAAATAACTATTTATTATATTTTTGTACATTCTTTACATTTAATGAGCAGTATACAATAGAGCTGAGATTTATAAAGTATTTTAAAATGGTATAAAGAGGGGGGAAAATGAAATCTTAGTGGCCAGTTTTTGTTTGCTTTAGCCAGCTGATTTGTTTTTCCTATTGGCAGTCATTGTAATCTGCTTTAAACTCTAGCCTTAAAAGTATAAATCTATTTGTTACCATTGATAGTCATTTGGGGAATCTGCTTCAGAATTAGGTATATAGAGATATATTAGTTCAGTCCAGCTTTAATAGTATAAAGGAGTATAAAAGCAAAATGAGTCAAAGAAGGGAGGTTAAATAAATATATTACCTAAGAATATTATATATAATGCTCATCAGTGAACTAAATTTTATCAGTTTCTTAAACATAAATCTAGTTTACCTTGGTAGCATGATCTTCTTTCTAAGACTAGTGATTTTACTTTACTCCTTAATTAATGTTTATGTAGTCCCAGATAGGGAAGTTATACCCCTAAAAGTGTCACCAACATTTAAGCTACATTATTCCTTTATTAAAATGGAACTTGTTTGAAATGTCATGGTTTACTTTAAGCATAGTTTTGTGCAAAATGCTAAATCCAAAGAGGTGAAACAAAACAATCATTAGTGTATTAAAATATGATTAAGCCTGAATAACAATATCTTAGAGATGAACCAGAGGAGATAACATTCCTTAATTCAGAATGCGCTAGGTACCTTAAACAGAGATAAAGGTAAAACTAGTTTCGGTTTCTAAAACTTTAGGTAAACTTTTCATTGATTTGTTTTTGGTAGAGAGAGCAAGAGGGTATGTACATAAGTAAAAATGGAAACACATCAGTATCAACTAAACATTAGTGTTACACTAATAACTTTAGTACTTGATTCTTTTACTTATATTAAAACATAAATAAAGGAATTTATTCTGTTAAAAGTAAATTTTCCACAGCTTGATTGGATATCTTTGTGGTAATCAAACCTAATTAATATGCTTTGGGCTATTATTTTAAGAAATTTTATTTTAGCAGTCAGATGCCAGCCCTGTTGGCATACTGTTTTCATGAATTAGTCAATTTATTTCACTACCCAGATGTCAGTGAGATGTCTTGCTGTATGCCAAATAACCAAACCCACTGCCCTCAGTCAGTTCCAACTCATAGCCACCTTATAGCACAGTATAGAACTCCCCTATAGGGTTTCCAAGTCTGTAAATCTTTACAGAAGCAGACTGCCACATCCTTCTCCCATGGAGGGGCTGGTGGGTATGAACTGCTACTCTTTTGGTTAGCAGCTGAGTGCTTAGTTCCTGTGCCACCAGGGCTCCTTGTCTTGCTTACACTAACTGGAAATTATTTCTGAGCTTTTCTCTAGATGTAGACAAGTTTCATGTAGAAAATTTTCTTTGTTCTGGAGCTATGCCTGGTTTAGAGGAATGAGTAGTATGGGCAGGATATGTGGGTCTTCTCTTAGCATATTTTTGATGCTTTTGTCTTACTTTTCTCTTTCACTAACCTACAGTGTTGGCATCTCGGGAATATATAATATATAGAGCAACCTGCCAAATGGAATTGGTCCTCTCTGAAGAACAACAACATAATTTCTGCCTATTTCTGTTATCAAAAGCCACAGTCCTTTCATGCGACCTTAAGTCTTAGAGTAGGATGGTTTGCACATTTTTATTATTATTTTTATGTCATTTGTTTTTAGCATGGAAGCAGAAAAGCATTGTTATATCCAGTCATATGGATAATTTGAGCTAGCTACAGTATATAAAACTCCAGAGAACAAGACAGGATGAGGAGACCATAGAAGAAAGAAAAATGTACATTTCTGAAAACAAAAAATGCATATCTTTTACTTCTGTTCATGAATTACTAAATCGTTCCTTCTGTTGGCTGCTGTGTTTGCTTCATACTAATATGTCCTCTCTGTCTTTTGGCATGGTTTCTGCTCAAGGCTATAGTAAGTATGGCTTCCTATTCATTTCTATATATTGAGCACCCTTTTGTTCAATTTTTTTATTTATACATTATCTGCCATCATAGGTAGTGGCATTGAAATTTTATATCAAGGCAATATTATGTAAAAGGAATATATCA